TGATGAATTCAATCGTTACTTCCCAGAATATACGGAAGAAGCTGAAGTTGATCAAAAACTGATTCCTAACGCTTTTAGTACGGACGCTGGAGAAGATACTGAAGAAATCCAAGAAGAGCTCATTGAATTCCAAAATGACAGAAACTGCAAGGATGCTTTTGAATCAAATTCACTTGGTAGGTCTGTAGCCGATGGAGTTGACGCGAGTACTTTGTCCACTCACTCGATCGACCGCTGTGTGAATCGGTGGTTCAAGCCTCAGGCCGGATGATCGATTTTCACTTGTTAACGTCCAACCCGTGTTAACAATCACACATTCTGTTTAAAATATGTTTTTCCGTTAACTAGCTTTGGCCCCCCTACGAACGAACGACAACCCAAGTCGAAACTTGTACGAGCTAAGGATTAACGAGGTCTTACCTTTTAACGTGTGATTCCTAACACGTTAAAAGGTAAGACTGCCTTAGTCGTAAGGTAGCACCAGCGACAGCTGGTTAACGGAAAAAAACAAATTTTAAACAGACAGACAGACAGATGGATTTCCAGCAAATCTTTTTATTATTACTAGCTGGGATACCTGGCTTCGGTGATATAGTAGTTTATATGAGATTTTGTAGTAGTAGGAATAAAAGAATAAACTTCAAATTATAAAAGACAGATTATTTACCCCTACCAATAGGTAGTCCACCCATTAAAAAAGGCACTGAATGGTCAACAATGTTCCAGAATAATCTCGGAAAACTATAAAGAGTAATGTTTCGAGATGCTCCCTAATGGTCCAGACTATTCCCGAACATTACACAATATTCCAGAATTCCGCACTTTTGGCGGAGAATCCTAGATCGAGGATTTAAAAGAAAACTTTTATGAAAAAGAAACCTTATCCATCTGATAGTCATATAAGTATTAATATTAATTTCAACTGTTATCACTTATCTACAACAGTTACTAAATTTGTCTTTCTCCTACTTCTAGAACTCATTTTTGAAATAAATTCATTTATGGAATAACAAGCAGTGAGTTCAATTATCTTGTTGATATTCTATTCTGCAGCACTTTCAATGGTTGCAACTTGCTGCTGTGACCATCCCCAAGCAAGGAATTTTGTTTCAACTCTAATGATTCATTAACTTGTGTTTTTGAGTCTCTAAAGACTCTGTAAAGTAGCAAAGGTAGTACAGGAAATATGTAAATATTTATCCAAACACGAACCTACGTGAACCTTTTTATTATGAATATTACCAGTTTTAATCATTTTATGTATCCTAAATTGTAGTCTAAATGTTATGTCTTGGGGTAAAATACTATTTTTATTTGGGAAAGTTTTTGGCTTTCTACTACTCCATCTTGATACAAAAAAACTTTGGGAATCCTCCNTATATACAGGGCTATTCAAATTCGTTTCTGTACATGGGGATCTCGTAAACGATAAGAGATAGAGTGTCGGTTAAATTGTGGCAAAGTTGTGTATTTTAGAGACCTATTCAATGATGTAGTAAAGAAATTGAATATAGCTCTTTTGGTTCTGGAGATACACGCGAAAAACCAAAAAATCCCAAATTATTTTTTTGCCCATATCTTCTTTATTCACAGACATATTGAAAATCTGTCCACATTTTGGTATTGGCACTTGATGTGGACTCTCAGAATATATCCATGAATCTTTTATACAGGGTGTCATCTGACTTGGGCCACCCCATCTTTGAATTTTTAAATACGGACCTGTATTTTTTGTTGTAGTTTTCGGATCGTAGACGTTCACTTCATACTGAAAAATTAATTTAGTTTTATATTTCGTAATTTTTTGTTAATATTCGATTATAATTGTGTGAATTATTCCCTTTCAAATAACGGCCCTGGAAATTGGTTGACTGAGTTGAATAAAAACATAATAGCTACTTTCATGTCTCCCTATGCACCGTAGAGTTTTTCGAGAGTTTTTTTTTCATTTTTAGGTACCTATTCATATTATTATTACTGGAACTATCTCCTGAAATAACTCCACTTGAAACATTCCTTCTGCTCGTAGATGATGAAGTCATAAACCTTATTGTTACTGAAACCAACAGATTTGCAGCACATACTATAGCATCGAAGGGAGTGAAGAAATATTCCCGCATAAAAAAATGGGCACCTACCAATCCAGAAGAAATCAAAAAGTTTTTGGGATTGACAATGTAGATGGGATTGGTTCGACTGGGTGCACTACCAGAATATTGGCCGACTAAGGGAATTTATCGTCAAGACATTCCTAAAAATACTATGTCACGTAACAGATATCAGTTGCTACTAACTCTAATGCATTTCAACGACATCGAAACAATGCAAAACGGTGACCGTTTAGGAAAATTCCGACCTCTAGTTGATATTCTACAGAATAAATTTCGGTCGATATTTCAACCTGATGAAGATATCGTTATATATGAAACTTTGGTACCATGGAGAGGCCGCCTGATATTTAGGCAGTCCCAAACAAGGCTCATAAATATGGAATCAAGCTGTTCAAACTTTGTTCGACTGATGGTTACACATGGGCACTTGAAGTCTATGCTGGGAAATCAGCGAATGGGCAACGTGAAATTGGATTAGCATCAAATGTTTGTTTGAGATTATGCCAGAAACTGCTCAATCAAGGAAGGACACTATACGTTGATAATTTTTACACAAGCTATGAGTTGGCCAAAACAATGCTCGATAAGTTAACACATGTTGTTGGAACCGTAAGAGCTAACAAAAAAAAATATGCCAAAAGAAGTTCTTCACGCAAAACTAAAAAGAGGGGAGATGGTATCTCGCGAAGATGAAAACGGAATTGTTATTTTGAAATGGGGAGACACGCGAGATGTCAGGTTGCTCTCTACAAAGCATGCTCCAATTATGGTACCAACCAATAGAATTGCTGAAAACGATCTGCACATAGCTGGTACCTCCAGAACCCCTAACGTTCAACCTTCTACTAGTGGAAGAGATTCCCCTTTACCAACCGAGAGACAGCAATCTGAGGACTCCCAAGATAGCGACAATAGACCATTGGTTACACCAAGGAAAAGGGAATCTCGAAAAGCAAAGGAGAAGCCAATGGCAATTTTGGCTTACAACAAAGGCAAATCTGGTATTGATTTGTCTGACCAGATGGCCTCATACGCCACTACTCTCCGAAAGGGTATAAAATGGTATAGGAAGTTAAGAATGGAATTGCTTCTGGGAGTAGCAGTTGTAAATGCATGGGTCCTGTACAAACGGGCCACTAAGAAGAAAATTCAAATCCGTGCATTCAGGGATATTTTGGCAGCAAACCTACTTGGCCATGAGCAACACTCAGAAACGCCAAGGGTACCTACATCTACAACTATATATCACCATCTAGCTGTGAGAATTGGTGAAAACGAAAAAAAAATCCGTCGAAAGTGTTCCGTGTGTTATTCAAAATTACAAAAGACATCAGGTCGTATAGTTGCAAAAAATAAAGCAAAAATGACGCACAATTATTGCAAAGAGTGTCCCGGGCAACCACAAATGTGTTTATAGTGTTTCAATGAAAAATATTGATTTTTCTCATTTTTGTTCTATTATACAGCGTGACTCACGGTCGATGGTGGGTTAGACGTTTCTGGAAAACGCAAAGCATGATTTTTCTGAAAATTTCACCTCTCACATTTCCTTACCTGTTCTATCGATCTAAAATATTTTCAGAA